GGAAGGACATTTAGGAGAAAAATAGGGAGGCAAAGCATTAATGTGGTATTATCTGTTGAAGATATTTTATAGTTTTATCAACTGTACTAGGGAGAAATGTTCACCTGTTGAAATATCCATTTTGTAAGCCAAGTAATAATGTGATTGAATGTATAAAAGAAAATGAAATTAAGAATAATTAAAAATTTTCTTTCATTTAAAATATACTCATTTAAATATTCATAAATGAGATTTATAAATTATATATACACATAAATATAATATATATATTTATTCCTTTTTTAATGGCAAAATTAACACTCTAGAGATACTCTTCTGTACCTTACTGTTTTCACTTAAGATATACTTGTAGCTTATTCCAGAGCAGTATTTATAGCCACTTACTATTACTTTATTTTAGTGACTTAATGCTTCATTTTGTATAATTTATGGAAGATGATTTTATTAATTTTCATTGGCTATTTTTCATTATTTTGCTACTAAGAATAATGTTTCAGTAAGTACCCTTGTGCATTGGTTATTTTCTATTTTTGCCATTACATCTCATTACATTACATTACAGTTTAAATAGGAATGCTCGATCAATAGTAACATAATAATTTTTCAAGATAGTGCCAAACGGTTGTACTCTCTTGTAATCTCAGTAATAATGCATTGGTGTGCCCGTTTTCTATAATTTCATCAGCAAGTTAGGGTGTATTATCAAATACGGAGGTCAAAAATACAAAGGACCCCAAATAGAATCAACCCAAAAAGATCTTCTCCAAGACACTTATAGCCAGATTGACCAAAACCACAGACAAAGACAATATACTAAGATTGGCAAGAGAAAAACATCAAGTTATCTACAAAGGATATCCCATCAGGATAACAGCAGGCCTCTCATCAGAAACAATGTGAGTGAGGAAAGAATGGGAAAATATATTTAAAGTGTTAAGGGAAAAGCAATTTCAACCAAGATTACCATACCCGACAAGATTATCCTTCATGTGGGAAGAAAAGACAAGAACATTCTCAGATAAACATAACCTGAAAGAATTTACCAGCACCAGACCAGATCTCCAAAAAGTTCTCAAGGAAGTGCTATATCAAGAAAATTAAATACAGACACACAGAAATAAGAGTTCAAAAACTAAGAAAATGGACAACTTAATCATAGAGACAAGTCTGGAGTTGAATATTATATCCCAGAATTTAACTGGGAAAATCGAACCACAACAGAAGATAAAGTACATGAGACTGAATTGGTGAAATAGCATTCCGGGACTTTTGACTAAAACATTGCTGATTTTCTTGTAGGCTTAGTTGTCTGGTTTTAAAGATTTGTGTCCTGTCTTGAGATGTCAATAGGTTCATGTACCTACCATTTGTATAGAATCCTAAACTGTTTCCTTGCTTTAAGTTTTAAGCAAATTTCCTTACCAATTCAAAACTGCTTTTCTTGAAATTATCAGCTGAACTTGCTATTGAAAGTAGTTAGATTATTTAAGAAATTGTGTGATCAATACAATGTGGG